GCAAATAACAATACTTGTGCCCAGAATGAGGACCAACTAAACTCCTGCTATCTGCGTGATTTTTTTTTCTTGTGAGCAAACTTCCGACTTTTTATCGAACCGGCATAGGCCCTTAGACAATACTTGAGGTAAACCTGTGACATGTACGTTCCTACAGAGATAATCATCTGTGATGCAACACACCTGTCTCCTCAAAGAGACATTTCTCTGTGGAAAGAGAATTTTTAAAAGGCAAAGAAACTTGACGGTCATCAATCAGACGAGTTACATATTCTTGTTCCTGGCACTTTCTCTTACAAATGTTCATTTAATTACATGGTATCAATTCATTGTTTAACCCAAGATTAACCCTAACTGTCCTCAGTACTCCAAACTCCTTTGGGTGGTTTTGAATGATTTGGAAAGACTGAGAAAAGATGGCATTTTTAAAGTTGGATGGTTTTGGAGGATGGAGGAAATATGGGGATCGAAGCATGGAGGATTTTGGAGAATTGAGGGAGAATGAAGTTTTTAAAATTGGATGATTTCGAAGGACTGAAGGAAATGGGGATTATGGTACAGGACTTTGGAGGATTTTTTTTGCAAAGGCTGCTGAGGGTGGTGCCATTCTATTATTTTTTACCTGTCAAGGTAATTTCTGTACTCCGTTGCATTGTAGTAGTGCAAATAGCTTTGCAGCCATGTACATAGGTACACGTACATACATATACTATACATATGGTATGTACAGTGGCACCTTGCTGATGCACAAGGTGCACCCCAAAGAGATGAAAGCCGGAGACAAGTGGTTGGTTAACCACCCGAAAAACGGGGATGGACCCGCAGTCTAACTGATGTCCCCATTCAATGATTCAGGGGACAGAAACCCTTTCGGCCTAAAATTCCACCAGCGAGACTCTCCACTATACTACCTCTTCAAGCTCTTCCCTCTTGCGTGGATTGTGTCTATGGTAGACTGGACCAACCAAAAGCTGCAACAGGCAAGGAAGAAGCTGACAAGCGTTGAAGAGATGAGAGCATGTCGGGGGATCCACTTCTTGATGGGTATTGTCAAGATAGGGTTTTGTTCCCTTTATTGGTCACACATCCTTGCCTCAACAACCGCCTAATCAGCAGCATGATGACCCGGAACTGGTTTGAAGAACTAAGCCTGTTTGGAGCCTGCAATTATCAAGCAAAGGATCCGCTCCACATCCGGGACGAAGCACAACGTCACCTCTTCATGAGAGCCCACCAACTCTATCCTCTTCAGCCCCTGTGGGACGAGGTCCGCAAAAAGTGTCGGTGGCTGTACAGTGCACGGAGGGAGCTTACGGTCGATGAAGCAATGATCAAGTATAAAGGCTTCAAAGTCAACGTGAAGAAGGTGTTCATGCGGTTGAAGCCCATTAGAGCAGAGTTTAAGGTGTATGCCCTTGCGGAATAAGCCACTGGCCTCATGCTTAACTTCATCATCCAGCCTATGACCATCAAAATAATGTTGCCAATAGCTAACAAGTTGACAAAACATCACTCAGGTCTCCACCATCATGTCTTTAATGACCGCTTGTACACCTCAATTGCCCTTGCAAAGGAGTTGTTGCAATGCAAGATATACCTGACAGGGGCTGTCAACTCAAACAGCAAAGGCCTGCAAAAAGAACGGTTGAATGTTGACAAGGACCCCAAACATGCACGGATGACGGAGATCAAGAAAACACCAAAGGGGACATTCTATGTCAGAATGGCCCAATCATTGTAAGCATATGGACGACAGCAAAACAATGATGTTGTCTACCGGCAACCATCAGGGGCGGTGAGATCCAGAAGTCCATATCAAGTGAAGAAGGTGACCAGTGAAAACATGGGCTTGTCTCCACCACCATTCCAGCACCACCACAGGCGTGCGACTATATCCGCTTCATGAAAGGTGTCGACAAGAACGACCAGCTGAGGGCATACCACACCTGCAGAAGGAAAGCTCAATTCTGATGGAAACATCTGGTATATTTCATCCTGGATGTGACTTGTGTCAGTGCATGGATCTGTTACAAGCAACACCACTGTAAAGATCCTTCCAACACCACCGACACCGACGATGGCAACAAAGCAACCAAGGCCCTGACCCACTCCAGATTTGTCATCAACATGGCAACAGAGCAGATTGAGCGCGCGCAACGTTCAGCAACCCGAATTGCCTTAAAACAACTGTGAGGTCAAAGGACATATGAGAACAGGCTTGACTGACTTAACTGGTTCTCTTTATCATCCAGAAGACAATACTTGCTATGCTCGTTTGTGTTTAAACGTTTACGCGATTTTGGCCAATGTGAGACCATCAGCGATAATGTCTGTCAATTCACGCCACCCAGAATTGCTCACATTCTGCCATCTTCCTTCCCGTACACAAGCTTTGTTTCATTCCCCTACCCGCAGTTTCCTTAGAATACGGAATTCTTTACCGTCATTTATCAAAGACTCAGCTGTTTCCGACTCCCTTCCTCGATTCCTTAGGGCCCTAAAGCAGGCTTTCTTATCAGACTTGTAATTCAATCTATTGTATTTTTTCTGGCTGTCATTTTGATCACCTGCATGGGGACCATTGTTTTCTTTGTTCTGTATAATTTGTCTTGTTAATGTTATGTGCGGAGCTGCATACTCGCCGGTAATAGTAGTTTATTTTCCTTTTGCAGTCCCTGACCCAGGTAACTGTTATTTGTCTTGTTATGTATCCGGATTTTTGTCCTTGGTCCCTGCTACTGCTTATAATTACTTCTATGTGTGTTTTGGTTGTTTTTATATACATGTACATGTATTTTCTGTTCAACTTGGCTTTGTTTGTTCTTGTGATGGTCAAATAAATAATAATAATAAGTAATTATGTACAATGTACACATTTTGGGTCACGTCACTATGCTATTAATGGTAGGGGATACAGCAGTCATTCATATGGTGATATGAATACAATAATTGGTGTTTGGAGATACAGTTTTGGTCCTTTTATACAGATTTGATGAGACAGCAAAAAGTGGTACACTTGGGGGGAGGTCCTGGTTTAACGATCTGATTCATCTTTTAGAAACTGGGGTGATCAAAAGTGAACAAAACTGCTCTTTCCAATTAACAAAAATGGTTTATTTCAGACTTTCCGACAAAATAATCATTGAGTAGCCAAACAAGATAATTTTGAGAGGTCGGCGAAACATCAAAGGAAAAGCAATCAAATTTGGAAAAGAATCATCAAAAACGTTAAGGGAGAATAGAAGAAAAAACATTACCCACACAGCACAAATGGGAAATTACTCGCTAAGTATGACGACGATCTAAAAACCTGTGAGATGAAGTCATAAAGCCTAGAAAAAAGGTAAAAATGAACATAAATGGGTAATTCCACAAACTAGGGGGTCCATTTTTGTTGTGTCCATGATTTTGTAAGTTTAGGACACATCTTCTAATTTCCAAGAGTGATGAATTAATGCAAATTACTTGCCAAAAAAATAGTAACAGTTTGAAATCAACTCCGGTGATATTTCCATGTCAAATGACAAAAGGTCAGATGTGACAGGGACACAAAAATTTGGACCCCTAATTTCTGGAATGACCTACATGTATGTTGTAACTTGCATCAACGGAATCGATCTTTACTCACTGGATACAGATCTATACACATGAAACTTAAATGCAGGTAATGAAGCCATTCAACCTGAGAAACTTATGTTACAAGGCTTACAGTAGATTACGGAGTCAAGGATGTTAACCTTTTGATAGCTTAGAAGAGAAAAACACCACCAAAAAAATCTTCTTTAAAGCAAATTGATCAAAAGAAAACATCGGAATACAATGTTTAAAAGTTAAGAGCCATAAAAAAATTCAAAGTCTTCACTTGTGTCAAAACTATTGTCTCACAATGAGGTGTATATAAAGAAAGGAAAAACAAAGATAACTTTCTTAAGAGAAGAAAAAGATGGATTTTAAAGACTCAAGAGGGAGGGTAACTGCATGGAGGAAAGCTATGAAAACTTTAAGTGATGCAGACGCTTACAAAGGCAGGTTGGAGTATGTTTTGT